TTTACATTACGAGGACCCGGGTTTAGGGTTTAGGGCTGTTTTGCCATAACAATAATGACCAAGTGAGCTCAAGTGTGTCCTTGGCTTTATCTTTCGAAAGGCATACTTTCAAACCTGACGCCTTGGCCTCAAGAAGCGTGCAGCTCTGGGGTCAAGGAAGGGTTGCTAGCCGATATTCAGAATGGCAACGTTGATTGCACTCACCTTGGCTGGCAAGCCATACATGCCCGCTTGGATGCCCAGCCAAATGTTCACGTTGCTGTAAATCTTAGATGGAGGAGCTGGTGCATGTGCGCATACACACAGAGCTTCATATGTAAAAACCTGCACGAGAATCTATACACGTACATGCATACCATCAAGCGTTCCTGTGCTTTTGCACTTCGCACAGCTCATCATTTAAGAAGCGCGAAAGTTCACAAGGAAGACATGGAACATCAATGAGCCAGGTGCGGCAAGCAGGGTTTCCGGGCTGCATCTCGCTCATGGACCAGGACACACACGAAGCCGCAATGTTCCTGTATTGCTGACTTGACAGCACCAACCCAAATTGACGGTTCTGAGTGATGGTTTGTTAGCACATAACATAACCTGGAATCTTCACTGTGGCCTGACTGCAAGGACGGACAGCTACTTCCAGACTTTCGCCCTGGGGCCTCCCACATCCCCAGCCTCACGGTTAAGCATGGGTTCAGTTTTGGGGTTAGAGATGGTTTGAGTTTGTCCGTGAGAGCAGCACAGGGGCTAGGCCACATGATTCTTGATTGCAACTGTGGTCATGTAGCCTGACGCGAGACCTCAAATTTGTCCTCATCAAGGGCGATTGTGGATGAATCCTTCTCAGGCGATCCAGAAGTTGAAGCTGCCTTTGGCGCTGTGCGGGGAGCTGACTGTGTTGCTTTTCGGCCGCAGACGTTTCAGGTGACAGCAGTTGCAAGACATATCATTAGCACTTGCACAAATCCAGCTCTCAACAGTCTCAACAGTGGCGTTAACAGCGGAATCTCTTGTGGGAGTGGCCTCTGTCATGATAGCCAAAATTAGCCAAACAAGCCGTTGGGTAAAAGTTGTGGTCCTTCGCAGTGAACGAAGTGAGGGCAGGAGGAGGCAAGGTGAATGACAAAGGTTTTTTGGACCTCGCCATCATCCGCAAGCAAAGAGCATACTGGAGAGTTATTCTTCGTCAGTTGTGACAGGAAAACTGTACAAGTGTGAACAAGGTTGGCGAAATCTGCATGTTGGACTGAGCATGCAGCATTGACATGCCGCATGGCGGGTAATCGAGTCTCAGGTGCTCGGCCCACTCAAGGAGGCATGCGTGCGGATGACGCTGTTTGTTTGATATCTTCTTCGAGCAATGGCACATTCACAAGATGTGTTGCATCCTGCAACACGCAGGAGCTGCCGCCGTTGGCAGCTGCAGCGGTGTCTATGGTCTTGGGCAGGGATGATGCTAATCCACGACTGGCAGGGACCTCAAGCAAAGCACAAGTGGGAGTCACTGGCGAGCGACTGGCAAGCCAGGTGACCGTCGCAGGTACCCAAGCACGGCGTAAGCTGAAAGCAGCAAGGCGCCAGAATGCCAGCGGGGCATCTTGACATCTACTCAATCTACTCTATGTGTGTTGTTTTGCAAGGTCTGCCCTGCAGTTGCGTTTTGCACGTCACTTGGAGTTGTCACACAGTGTGGCAGTCCACAAAGCCAGCAAACAACACAAACTGGTGAGTACGCAGAGTATCCATCTCTGAAGCTCTCTTGCATTCAGTGGTTTACAGCTGACACAGAGCTCTTTGCACCTGTAAACAGGAGCTCGGTGACGTGCCAGAAGATCCTCGCAGGATCTGGTGACAGCCAGGCAAGACAGCAACGCTACCAAGAGAAGCTTTGGCGGTGTTGCCGCAGCGCAGCGACTCTTATTTTTTGAAGACGTGCAGTCCTGCCTCAGTCCCCATGCGTGTGGAAGTTGAAGTCCTTGTGGCAGAGAAGCTTTGATGCTTTGACATGTTGTCTTCTCGTATTTAGGCTGCAAGTATTTGGCAGGAGTTTGTGGACATGCTCTGGCCATCGAGGTTGCTGTCACTTGCCTTACTGAGCCGTACTGGTAGCTGGTAGCTGGCAACGACAAGGCGAACGGTGCTCTTGTAAACGTGAAGCTCCAACAAGGTCTGCAACCCTGTTCGCGGAGTTCCCGCTTGCGTTGTCGAAGACACTTCTGATTGGAAGGCGCTTGGCGTGCAAAGATGAAGGTTTGGCAGAGCGGTATGGAGCACGGTACAGTAGAGCTTGGGAATCGTTCGGAACAAAGCACTTCCTGATGCTTTAAACACTAGGATGTAATCCCTCTGATCCTGCCTATGGCCTGCAAAAATCTGGCATTCCTGCTTGTAACAGCCTGCCAGTCATGCATGTCTTTCACATGGGGCGATTTGCATTTGAGAGAGTTATCGCTTTGCGGCAGGAGCTTTGAGAAGACAGCGAGGCACGTCGAAAATGGGGCGCAAGTCCAGTTGGACATGGGGTTCGAGGTCCTGTTAACTGTTAAACCTCTTGTGCTGGACCCCTCAAGGGTCTTACCTCGCCCGCTGCCCCAGCGTTGACATAAATGATCGAGTTGAAAGATGAATGCAAGTCGAGGATGCAAATTCCCTTTTCACGGACAACTTCATGTTTGGAGTCGCTTCGCGTTGGAAGTCCGTTTGAGTGGGTGTCAGCTGGCAGGTTTGCGCACAGGAGTGGCACCTCCTCGCTGCTTGTCCTCGCGCCCTTCATGCACCAAGAACACGTTTTACTAATGTACTCAATGTACTCACGATTATACCAGAAAAGCTAAAGACCTTCTAGGACAACCTGGTTGCCCAGCTCAACCTCGCGAAGGAGATTCAATTTCAACTGTCGCGCTTTGCTTCGGGGTTGTGACGGTGGGCCATGCCGTTCAGGGCAGCTTAGATAAACAGGCGTTTCCAGTCGCAGAGGTCAAACCATTCACTGGCAGATCAACACCGCTGCATAGTAAGCACAACCGGAATCGGAAAACTTGCTGTACAGTAGCCACTGCTCACTTGCACCCTCAGTGACGCTGAATTTAATGAAGGCCAAGGACTGAAGTTTTAAGGTTCCTGATGCAATCTGGAAGCCCCTGAGCATTGTGGCAGGAGCGAAGGAACGAGTGCTTACCTGACTGGGTTTTGCCGAGCCTTGGCGAGCTCCTTACACGCCAGGGAGACAGTTAGGGCGAGCAGTCGCCAAACTGCTAACGCCCAGCTGTTTGCGGCGCCCACGCGCTGTGAATATTCTATGCACCTTGGCTGAGCACAGATGCCAAGTACACCAAGTCTTTATATATATACATCCTGTCTGTTCGCGGTTGTTGGCCTGACCCTGTCTTTCCCATACAGTTGTCTTGAACAAAGTCGGGTGAAGGTGTTGAAGCCTCGAAGGCCAGATACAGGGTGGGAAACGTCCAGCAGCCGGAACGAATTGCGCAAAATTAGCGTTTCTTGATGCTGGTATTCATGATCGGCACCATTTGTAGGATCGTAGGCCCCAGCTTGGGACAGCGAAGCTGCAGCTCAAGCCTTTAAGCATTTGGACCTGAAGCTGCACAGGACATTTCTCAGGCGCAGTTAAAGAGATCCGCGAGGCGCGATGCTCCGAGCAGCTCGCTGCTGCCAGAATCTCCAAGTGCATGATTTCAGGGAGTCACTTCTGCCTTGCAGGGCCTGTTTTCGTAGTTCTTGCATGTCTCCGCAGAGCCGGACATTGTGCCAGTTATCCTCACGCAAAGCGGTGGAATGGAAGCGCAATTCCTGTGCTGTCGTGGGAACCACATGGCCAGGATTGATCACAACACCCATTGTGATGTGGATGAGGCGTGTCGCCAGTCTGGCGATGAATGCACAGTTGAAGCACTGGCTGCTTTCTTGGCAGCTTTCGTGCATGGCTGCGGCCGTGCCGCTTGCATCATGCACCCAGAAACTACCCTCCTGCCTGCAAAATAAGTGCTGATTGACATGGAGGAGATTGAAGGAGGGTTCAAAGCAGAATCCTGATTGCATTGGGTCTCCCCAGAGTTACTGAAGCTGCTCCATCCTTCCCAGCTGCATCTAAGAACCTAGGCTGCACATCAAGCACAAGCCTCATCACAACCGTGAAGCAACGCCCACACAGCCACACAGTTGTCAAGCATGTAAAGGGATGCAGGCGCAAGTTGACATGCCTTGGAAGCCACAAGCCTGCAGCAATGGGGCCCAAGGAACACTGCACTGGCGAGAATCTTGAAATTACCTTGAAGAGCACAGAGCAGGCTTCTCAAACCGTAAGACAAAATCCTCGCGATGGCTGACCTGCCGACATCTCACGGCGAAGCAAACCCTCCCTGCACAGAGTCGCTTGGACGACAAATATGGCGTGGCAAGAAGTTGTTGCTGTGTCTCAGTGTCATGTCAGCCTCAACGAATCCTGGCCTTGCTGGCCGCTGTAAAGACCGGGTTTTCGCAATCTCACGCAATCTCTTCATGCATTTTAGGTCGCGTTCCAAGGCTCCTGAGGCAAACGATTAGCGAATACTGTCGTCAACAGAAATGGGAACGACAATCAGCAAAGCTGAGGACAGGTGAGCTGGCGCCTCCAAAGGACGAATCTGTGTTGCTGGTGCCATGATATTCATCATGGACATTTGACAATCCGACAGTTACACGTGCGCAACCTAGTCTTGTAAAGTAAAGGCGCCTTGAATGCTGGAGCGCATGTCTTCATCTAGAAGACCATGCTGCACCTGTGTCTACACAGAAGCCCGGCATTAGGCACCCGGTCAAGGAAGAGAGACGATGCACCACAAACCTTCGGTCGATCTCAGAACGGGAAGAAGCATGTGCCGACTGAAGCACAGGCCCTCATGCGCGCGTGCTCGGGCTTTCCAGCTTAGAAACCAGATCCATCGCGTTGGCAACACTAGCTGCTACTACCAGCTGCAACAAGTTGCCACCAGGAGCCTGAGGACATGACGGGTTTAGAGAGGTCGGCTTTCGCAGCTCGGTGCAAAGATATTGGCAACCGCGGCTTCAAGGCTCCTGGAATGCCTCAGAGATCTCATGCTTTCATTCGTTCCTGCTCCCATACAGACTCGTAAGGTGATTGAATTCTGTGGTGCTCAGTGTTTTTCCTGCCCACTGAGGGGCTTGTGTCGCATCGGCAGTGCAAGCGACCAAGGGATTTCTCACGGAGAAGTTGAAAGGGCTGCTCGCAGAATTCCCCGAAAGGTCATACTTGTTATACTGTATTTAATCTTCATTTCAGTTTTCACTGTATCACTGAGTTTTTTTTGGAGGGGGGGGGGGCGTGCCAACATCAGGAGGTCATGTTGCTTTCCATGGCTTGAACGCAGGGTTCCCGCCAGGCCTCGGATTGGGGGTACGCTGTGCTGGCGTATCAGGAGGGGATCAGATACTTGGTGCCTTGGTTCAGAAATGTCTTTCCAACGCGCAATTCCTCTAACGTGCATGGAACATCCCAGAAAACTATGAGGAGTATCTTCCTCACGATTCCGAGATGCAGCCACTTCGTTTTGACCATGGGGGAGCTCAGTTGAATCACTTGGACAAGGAGATTTTAGCACCGCATCACACCGCGTTCTACACCTTTCATAGTATGAAGTGAAGGACATGTCCTTGGCTGTGACGCTCTTCAGCAACCTGGCCGCTGCGTTTCTGAAGCTCCAGGAGCCCCATGAGGCCCTGAAGTATGCAGAGAAGGCTTTGCGCTTCGATGCGGCTCATGTGCCAAAACTGCAATGGAAAATGGGTCCTCCCTTGCTGTTAAATGCTATTGGATGGTGGCTTCGGCTGCCAGTTGAGGCAAAAGCGTTGTACCGGCGCGGCCAAGCCTTACTGGCCCTTGGCGAGTATTCTGAAGCTCTTGTGGCTGCTGAAGAGCTGCTGCGGAAGGAGCCTGGAAACCCAGATGCGGCAAGCCTGAAGTCAGCAGCAGCACTGGGGGCCAAAGTGGCTACGCAGAAGGAGAAGGCTTTGTTCTCAAAGATGCTGAGCTAGCAGGACGAAACTGATTGCTGAGTGCCCTGAGTTGCCTTCAGTCCTGAACTTGTAGAGCTGCAAACGAATTCTTCTCACGCCGCCCCAGGCAAATAGGGCTCCGAAGTGCGCGACAGACTCACGTAGCTGCTACGCTGGACTTGTATAAGCTTTGCGCGCAAGTCCGACATGAACAATCATGAAGGGCGAGAAGCGTTCACCAGCCAATCAGCAAATCAGCAGCACCCTCAGCAAACACACTACTTTTTAGATTTCTCGTGACGCTTCACTGGCGAAGAGTTGCTGTGCCCATGGAAGTGTGGGGAGCCAAGAGCTTCACATAGCTTCAGGTCGCGCGTCACAGGCAGCAGGTCCATAATGTTTCTAACAAGTCTGGCCTTGTGAGCGAAGCCGTCTACATGGCACGCCATGCACGCAGGTGCTAGGAAAGCCTGACAGCATGAGGCCATCGCACTGGGTGGTGCTGTATCGCTTGGCGACGGCCCTTGCAACTTTGCTGAGCTTCCAGGCGCTGTCAACTACTGTGTTTCTGGCTGAAGCAGCTAAAGTGTGCGCAGGAAGTCTGGCGCATTGCTGTGCTCACGTTCACAGCTGCAGCCTTGCTTGCTTTGCAGAGTCAGACCCACTGTGTTCTCTTGCTAACCGGATCTTACAAGGTGGGTTGTGATATTGCTCGCGCAAGCTGTCGCGAACTCAGCACGCTCACCAGCTTGCAGCAGTTTGCTTCGAAAAGCTCAGATGCAAACTTCTGCCTGCAATTAACAATCCGAAATGCTCTAGGACACCGGTCATCATGAAGTGGCACGCTTGCATGTCAAGTGCCATGGTGTCCGTCACTGTCTTTCTCCTTGTTAGCTGGCCCGCGTGGGAAGACATCGTAGTGAAAAAGTAGTTGGACCGCCATTCCATAGACCAACTGTATCCAGACGCTGGAGCATTAAGGCGCATAGCTTGCATACGGTTATATACCTTAGCATGATTGTGACAGCCACTGTTATCAAGCAGCACATGTTTCGTTGGGCAACGTGAAATGATTAGAAAGCAAAAGCCCGCATCCAACGGATAAGCAACATAACGAGAAGGCTGGGTCCATTTTGAGCAAGAATGGGCCACCAAGCAGAAGGTGGAGCAGAGCGAGCAAGGCAAGAAGCTACTGGCACTTCCCAGTACCAAACTAGCAGCACATGTGGACTCTTGTCTTCAAAGGAGCAGGCCATGATAAGCTAGGCATGTGGCTCCATTCGCCTTTGCGGAGATGTCAAAGCTTGCGGCGAGCCAGACGCTGTACAGCGTTCTGGGTGTTAGCCGGCATGCCGACAACAGCCAGATTCGACAAGCATACCGCCATCTGGCACTGGCCACACATCCTGACAAAGGTGGAAGTGCTGGTGAGTTCTTGAAGGTGGTAGAGGCCTTCGAGGTCTTGTCAGATGCGCAGAAGCGGGCGACGTACGACGAGGATCTGCACAGAACTGGGAGCCAAGACGGGCGCGGCGACCTGTCAGCCGTCGAGCGCAGGCCCAGCGGCTGAGCTTCTGGGTTCTCGACCCTTTTGACAAAGTTTCCTGAAATGTGCTCTCTGCCATGAAGGCGTGAGCAGGCAGAGGCCGCACAAGCAGCTCAAGCAGATGCCTTCGGCCTCCCGGATCTTGGCCCCTCAATGCAAACAGTCAATGCTAGCTGAAGGGGGAGGGTCACACTCAACTGTCAGGCAAAACCGATCCTGACCAGAAGCCATGCGAGGGCTGGGGCATCACGGAGGAGACAAAGCGGGCAAAGGCATTGTGGCTTGAGCTTTTCGAGGAGCTGCCTTCCAAAAGGTATGAAGCTTTGATGCAGTTGTTTGTTTGGTGTGCTGCGGGATGACATGCCAGGCAGCATGCTTGCCACAAGTCCCAGGCACAAACAACATAAAAGGGTCCAAATGTTGCTAAGGACCGTGTATTGGAATTGTCGTGCCGTTCCGCAGAAGTGTTGCTGGCTTACGCGCGCTCCAACGCCTGCCTGGGAGGTCTGCAAGCGTGATGGGCCAGTGGTGGGAGGATGAGACTGTAGGACGACTAGCAGTCTGAGAGCGGCTGTAGTCGGTTTCAAGGGCTAGACGGTGAGAGAATTTGGCCAGCTTTGCAGCTTCTCAAGTCCAGGCTTCAGGAAACCCAACAGGCAACTCCCAAGACTGTATTGCTGGCGAGGTGCTCCGATGGTCGGGTTGGACACCGGCGGTGCTGTCCAGGCTGAGGTCAGCGTTGTTTCAAGGATCTGGGGTGTAGAAAGGTCGGCCCAAAAGCAAGCACAGCTGCGAGCACGAGGATTTCGACCCAAACCCTCTTGCGAAATCATGGCAAACAATGGGACGCTCCTGGAAGAGTAGGCAAAAATAGCAGCAGACTCAGGAAGGAACCAAGAAGCGTATCCCACGCTAGTTCGGCATCCAATGATGGCGCTTGATGGAGATGTATACATACAATGTGTCTAGGATCCAAAAAGGACAGACGTGACAACTTAAGCCACAACTACGCATGAAAACGTTAGCCTTGTTGAGCTCTGGAAATGGTAGTTTCCCAAAATAAGAGACCCCAACATACCCCTATATATCCCTCTAAAGGCCCCCCAAATTGGGGACAGGGATGGCATGGCCTTGGCATGCAAGGCCATCGACAATGTCCGTGCCAACGGCGTCGTTGTGACCGAAGATGAGGGTTGTGGCTCGTCCCTGCTTGCCATGGCGGGGGCCACCCAGGAGAGAGAATGATATACATATAATAGAATATGATATGATATAATACAATAATATATATATATATGTATTAGAATATGTTATGATATACTCTAATAAATTGTAATATACTATCACCTGTTGTAGTAGTTAGTACTGTGCTATAATCTACCTGCTTCTCACCGGGGAAAAAAGGCAGCATGTGCTTTACAGTGCAACCCTTAAACCTGACCCGCAGGACAAGCACCGGGATCAGCCCATGCATGCAAACGCTGAGCCAAGTGCGAAGCGTAGACGCACAGACGCGGCGGAGACGTCGTTTGACAGCACCAAGAAAAAACAGGCAGCGAATCAGTTCCCAGACGGCAACGAAGTATGCCAGTCTTTACCTTCACTCTGATGATCTTCAGGCTTCCTGGCACGAGCGGATCTCGAGCCTGGATTTGCCTGGGGCGGCTGAAGATTTGCACTGGGGCCTCCGAAGATGTCGCAGAAGCAATCAACTGGCACATCCTCCTCATCAGAGTAAAGCAGCTGCCACTTGTTGTAAGATTGGCAGTGAGATACGAATAGTATGTGCCGCTGCAAGTGCAAGCGCAAGCCACGGCGCCTCCAATCCCTCAATGAATAACACAACTTCGAATGAGCCTGCAAGAAATGCAGGTTTAATGAGCTCTCAGCTCGCGGACAGCCCTTCATGTCTGCGGTGCGCCGTGCTGTGGCTGCAGCCCTCGCAGAACGAGACGCTGAGGGTCTTGGGACAAGATAGTTCATGGCTTCAGTAGGGTGATGCGCAGTTCACTACCCTCTCTGGCTTGACTGTTGAATTCTACTCACCCAGAAAGCCAAAAGGATGTAATTGGAAAAGCAAAAGGGCCGACCGACGACTCCGCAAATCCCTGCGAAACGGCTGCCCTTGCCATTGCCCCTGTGCCACAGCAGGCTGTTTTGCCATACGCAACAACTAGAAAAGCGGAAAACACATCCAACTGAATCAATGCAAGTGGCAAAGCACCAAAAGAACACTTTTGGACGAGAGGGGAAGCCACGTTTGCTTGCTTCCTTGCTGTCTTGGCTTCTTCAGAGGTGGTGGGACAGATCCGCGGCTGCGATTCATCACCGAGTGCTCCGCTGAGGGCGACCAGGTGCTGCTTCTTGGCATTCTTGGCCTCAACCATCATTTTCCGCACCGAGCGGTAATATGTCTCAAGCAAATGTGCCACATATTTGCTTCATGCAGCACGCCCAGGCCGGATGTAGAAGATCCGTGGAGAGCACTGCTCAGGTTTACGCCGGTGACCTGGGATCTCGAAACTGCACTGCGCCAGAATGAGGACTTCTTGGGGCTTCAACAATACAGGAGGACTAGCAACAGAAGACAGGTCGAAGCTAAGTCACGGAACCTTTTCCCATGGACAGTATTTCCAGCGCGTCACTGCAGACCCAAAAAATCCAGCAGTATTTGAGGGCCGGGCCATTTGAAGTTCCAGGAGCTTTCAGCGCTGCTGGCTGCCTCTGCCTCGCGAATCGAGCTTCTGTCCGCCATCCAGAGGATGACCGTCGCTTCCAAGGCGAATTGAGCTTCCTTGCAGTCTTTCAATGTCTTTCAGGCTGCTTACCCATAAGACAGTGATGCTTCGCCAAGCTCTTTGGATAGAAATACCTTCCCAGGGCTTGTCAGCGGGGCACTAAGTTTTCCTAAAGCTGATCACCTGCGCCCAGCCACAGATGGGGGCTGTACACTTTCTTGAACGAGTTACAGCCGATTAATTTGAGTAGTTGTTTGTTTATGGGAGTGTCAGAGTCCAGGAACATGACAATTCTCCAGCCCCTGAGAAGTCTGGAAGCCAAAATGGAGAGGCAGCACAGGAGGAGCAGCGTGCCCTTGCCGACCGCCTGGACAGTTTTTGCAAGGGTTCTTCGTCTGGGGCTCTGATTGAGGGCGCATGGGTCCTTGAAGGGTTTGAAGTTTCGGCATGCTTTTGGCGCTGAGAGGCCTGAGCAAACCCCCCTTCCCCATTTGGACAGGCGCCAAATTTTCCAACTTTGAATGTGGGCGAAGCAGAAAGGCAGCTCTTTGGTACTCAGTGTGGGGGTTGAAGTGGCTCAGTTGGATCATTCATGGAAGTTCAGAATCGAGATTGCTGATGTTGTCAGGAGCAGCATTTGCGCTTCTTCCAGCGGCAGCTCCGTTGGCGCGGTGGCGAGCGGCCACGCGGTGTGAACGCAAGCGTCTGCCGTGTCGTGGGCCCCAGCTACCTTGGGGACGGAGGCAGGATAGATTTCCTTTCTCAGCTGTTGAGTCCTGTGAATGTGCAGAAGATGCGAGTCACCAATTGTTGGAGGGATGTACCTGCTCCTTGGGACCCTTTCATTGGAGCAACCTCTGCTTCCGAGCACATTGAGATTACAAAAGAGCCTGCACGACCACATATTGAAGCTTGTATGACTTGTATGGGTAAGCTGCGGAAGTTTGGGATTTTTTGAAGTAGATGAGTCAACGGCTGAAGGTGAATTTGTCCATGGCTGTTCAGGACAGCCAAGAGACGACGACAACTACTACTAAACTTGTGGTAATGGAAGTCCCGCAGTTGAGGCAGCCAAAGTTCCCAAGCAGGCTCCCAGCATGGTTTGGAAACCAGATGACAGGTCGCCCAGAGAAGGACGGCAAGCGCCAGGCTTTCGCTTATGCAGAGCTGTGGCACCAACGACAAGGCTCACATTTTCAGGGGTCCTTGGGCGTCAAACGCACTGCGAATGTAGTTTGCGCAGTGTTGTTCATAGCCTTCGTTTTGAGCATTCATGTTGGCCTAGATAACAGCAAGCAGACAAGCAGACAACACCGACTTGTGCCCCTAAGACCTGAACCCTGATTCGCCAAGACCTCGGATATCTGACATTCTGATGTTGCGTCATTTCGCTTTATTTGGTCGTTGTCCAAAGGTAGGAGCAAGCCAAATTACCGCCAGCGGTAGAAATAGCTTGTGTGGCGGACATCCTGAAAGCCTTTTTGCAGGAGTTGCCAGGGCTAACAAACGTACTTTGAATAGTCTTTGAATTTGCAGTGCCGGTGGCCCAAGCTGCCATGCGAAGCAGAAGCGGCAATGCTGCAAAATGCCCACGGCATTGTTGGGAGACAAGCCCCAGCGCCGCTAGTTAATGGCTAAGGGAGGCAGGAGTGCGAAGAAAAAGCAGAAGAGGCAGCAGTCAGAATGGCGGGTCTCTGTGAAAAGCGAGCGGCAGGCAGCTTTTGGAGTCATCTTTCAGCATTACATTATGCGCGCCCAGCGAGCCGAGAAGACGTGCAAAGGCTGCTGGTGGTGGTGGTGGTG